TTCCACATTTTGTTTACGGTAGTGACAGAGATACATTATCCTTGTGGGTGTGAAAACCCCACATCAGTGAGGTTTGAACTTAAGATGGCCTCTGAAGTCTTATTACTCTAATAAGAAAGACTTTTCACTAGCCCTAGCCGGCTTGGCTCAGTGGATAGAGTGTCAGCCTGCAGACTGAAAGGTCCCAGGTTTGAATGCGGCCAAGGGCACATGCCGGGGTTGTGGGCTTGATCCCCAGTAGGGGGTGTGCAGGAGGCAGCCAATCAACAATTCTCTCTGCCATCATGTTTCTCTCTCCCTCTCCTTTGCTCTCTGAAATCAATAAAGATATATATTTTAAAAAAAGACTTTTCACTAAATGAAGCATTTGTTGGACTAGTTATTTTGATCAGTTGAGAGAAGACTCTTTAAGCAGACAATAGGAACTAAGCAGTGAGAAGCCCATGACTTTCATAGGAGGACGTTGCACGGAATGCAGTGAGTTATGGAGGACGTGGAGCATGGAGGCACGTTGGGGCACCCGCTGGAGCTGCAGAAGTTTTGCTAGATGAGAGGCCTGTATGCCTGCTGCCTCTGTGTTTTGCTCAGAATGATTTAGAGACAGTCCCAGACCACCAGGGTGCTTCTCTGTATCCTTCCTCTTGTCTTTTCTCCAACATGCACACATGACGCTAATGGAATAAAGCTTTCAAGCTAGCCGGAAGATCAATAAAGATTTTATGCAGCAGGCAAAGACTTATTGAGTATCATAGTATGTGGCTAAGTTCTCCGTTTTTAAAAAAATGAAGGAAAGTGATTCAACTATTGGGCAGTCACCTGAGTCATTTATATTTTAATGGCAAATTTAAAAATGGTATATGTGATCCTATCTGCTACTTACCTAGCATTTCCAGGTATTTAAATGTTGGAGATCTTACATGAATAAATTCTTGTTCTCATTGTGTTCCTAAGCCATGAAAGTCCCTGCACTTTGTTTAAAAAAAAAGAGAGAGAAAGAAAAAGGAAAAGAAAAAAAAGAAAGTCTCTCATAAGTTTTATTTTCTCATTATGATGAAGGGTTTGTTTTTTTTAAGGCTTATATTTACTTAATGTGATGATAACTTGAAGGGCATTAAATCTCAGAAAACTGTCATCTTGCTAAGTCTCAGAAAGTCTGGTGATTACCTCCTTCCAAACTAGGGTATCCGAAAAACCTCCCAGTAAGTGTAGCCTACCTGAGGACTGTGGCTGAGCTGAAAACCCCTGAACCCAGCAGCCGGGCCAGACCTTCCTGCCTCACTGGTACCTTGCTCCCAGGACCACTGTCACCAAGTTACATAAACTTGCTCTCCCTGTTTGTGCTGGGTGAGCAAAGCCCTGCGGAAATAGGAACCCACCGCCCCACAGTTGCACAGGAAATAAATAGAGAGCAAAAAGCACATTTTACCATTTATTGAGCCTACCTTGGGTCTGGCAGTCTCATTTAATTTTCATCACTCTGGAAGTAAGCGTGTCTTCCTGCTCTACAGGTGGGGATTAGGACTGAGGATGAGTGGTGCACTGAGGCTTCACAGTTTCAAATGGCAGAGCCAGGTCGGCTGACGTGAAAGCGCGTATACCCCACTAACCTCCAGACACCTACACCGCACAGCAGCTGTGGGTGTGTGAGGCCCGGCACCTCGATGGAAGAACATAAAAGATGAAGTGGGACTGAATGGCTGTTAATCCCTGCTGTGTGCCAAGCCCTACGATAGACTTTTAGCATACATCTTCTCAATCAATCCCCCCAACAACCCTGTGAGTTACACAGTCTCACCCCTTTACTACCTACTCAGAGAAGTCAAGAAACTTTCTGAAGGTCGTTCAGTTAGTAAGTAACAGGGCTCATATTTGAACACAGGTCTCTTTGAGTCTGTATCTTCCCTCTTACCAAAATAGAGTGTTAACCAGATAGGTTTTTGTGGAAATAAGGAATCTTACGGTAATAAAAGAGAAAAAAAACCCTATAAAATGTGGAAAGATAGCTTGAAAACTAAATATCCAACTGAATGGTAAGAAATTAGCAGTATATAATCTTGGACTAAACAGCTGACAATTTTTAAATTCCCTTTATTTTACTAAATTTAACCTGTTTTACATGAGCATAAAAAAATCTCAAAATAGATTTCAAAAATTGTCTTGAGTAGGCCCCAGAAGGTGTTCTGGGATAGAAATGAATTTCTGAGATTTAGATGATAATAAGTGATTAGATAGATGTTCGATTAGAGTGGATCCAGTAAAAGACAGATATAAATAAATTGGAATCCAAGTTGCCAGACCTCTAGTTTAATTGCAATTTATTTTTTACACTTGAGGTTCAAGACAGTAAAGCACATTTCAACCAAAAATTATTAGGGATTATTCAGAAAAGTCACTTGTACTGAATGTGCTATGATCTTTAAAAAAAAAATGTTTTTATTGATTTCAGAGAGGAAAGGAGAGTGAGAGAGAAATAGAAACATCAATGAGAGAGAATTATCGATCGACTGCCTTCTGCACGCCCCCTACTAGAATCGAACCCGGGACCCTTCAGTCCACAGGCTTATGCGCTATCCACTGAGCAAAACCAGCCAGGGCATGTTGTGGTCTTTTTAATCTCCTTTGGTCCCACTGTGATATAATCTTCGGTTAGGGTGATATTTGTTGTCAGGACCTGAGGCAGTGCAGATACTCAATTACCAGAGAAAGTTTAAATTATGTCAAATATAATAAGGCAAGAAAGAAATGAATACATTTGAAATATAGTTTAAACAAGTGGTCCTAATTATCTTTCAGTTAATTAAAAATAAGTAGAAGATCCCTGAACAGCTTACTGATTGTAATGAAAGCACTCCAAATCTGGGTGGCACTCCTTTCTGTTTATCTTTCTTAATTATTAACTTCTTTATGAGCAGTTTTAAAAGATTAACTTTTGCAGAATAAGGGCAAAGTTTCCAAGTACAGTCAATTTTTGATCTTTCGGGGCTGCCTCTAAAGTTGTGAGACCATAAGCAGGACTAGCTAGGATGGGCTTCACCTGCTCCGTGGTGACAACTGGCAACTCATTATTGGCGTCACAGAAGCCATCGCACTTTCTGATTTCCATTCTGGGTCAGTCAGAGCCTATCCTGGTTTCACTCATGCTCCCCTTGATGTGTCCCCATCCCCCAGCATTAAGTGTGTCCACACAGAACACAGCCTTTTTCCAGTGGTGAATCTCCTGGTAAAATTTCCTCAAGTGGCAAAATCCTACCAGAAACCACTAATTTGAGACCGTTTGCTGTTTATTAGCAGCCTGTCCATTGTCTTACTGTGTCTTTATAGATCTTTCCCTGAAAATAAGAGAAAGAAAGCCCAATTGGATAAAAGTTAAACCAATCAATGTTTGCTTGAGCATTTAATGCCAACAAATAGAAACTGAGCAATATTTAAGTTGCATGAGATATTTTTTACTATGTAGTCTGATTTTCCGTGCTAGCTAATAGTATATGTAATTGTCCGAGAGCCATAAAAATTCAATATATTCCCCATTCAGAGATCAAAGGTAAACTTTGTAAATGTAGCAATTTTTTTTAGTACATCTTGGGTAACATTTTTAAATTTAGTCTTCTTGAAGCACAATAATTATCACATCCTTTCAGGCTTAAAAACCTTGAGCAAATGATTTCTGTTTTGTAGACAATATCAGCCGAGTGGAAAGGAAGTAGTCAGGAGGCAAGGGCTATAAACAGCAGGATAAGGAGAAGAGGGGAGTGATGAGTGATGGGGTGCTAGTTCAGACAGGTCAAGGGGAGTCTTTCATGTCACCTTTGAGCAGTGACCCCAAGAAAGTGAAGGAGAGATCCATGTTGATAACTGGGAAAACACTTCAGGTAATTGCAAAGGCTCTGAGATGGACTGAGTTGGTCAGTATGCATAGGGCAGATAAAGGGAAAGTGGTACAAGGTAAAGGCTGTACCGTATAGTACCCTCTAGGCCCGTGGTCGGCAAACCGCGGCTCGTGAGCCACAGGCGGCTCTTTGGCCCCTTCAGTGTGGCTCTTCCACAAAATACCACATGCGGGTGCGCACATACAGTGCGATTGAAACTTCATGGCCCATGCGCAGAAGTTGGTATTTTGTGGAAGAGCCGGTATTTTGTGGAAGAGCCACACTCAAGGGGCCAAAGAGCCGCATGTGGCTCGCAAGCCGCGGTTTGCCGACCCGCAGTTTGCCGACCCGCAGTTTGCCGACCACTGCATCTAGGCCATGATAGAGACCTTGTGTTTTACTCTGAGTGGGATGAGAGCTGTGTAGGCGGACGCTCTAACTAACCGCTGAGCCACAGTGAGGGCTTGGTTGTTGACATGATTTCTGTCTATAAGTGTAGCAAACATCTTTAAATACCCTCTAGACATGTTAAATAAAGTAATACAGGTAAAGAAAAATTGTTTGGTCCTGGAGCACCCTATACTTTATATAACCAGAGAACTGCCTGGTATTACTGCCCTTCATTCCTTTCCTAGAATACACTTCCCTTAGTCTCTTTAATAGTCTTTGCTGTTGAACTCCTGTCTGAAGCTTTTTCAAAACCATAGTACATTCTGTATCCTGGTTCCCTTTTGGTGACCTGCTTGGTTGTGTTCTTGGAATTCTTTGCTGCCCAGCACACGAACTTTGTGAGAACTAAGATCAGAGGTTTTAGATTCCAATCATGTTTCCACACGGTTGTTGTATGTGGAAGCTGGGACAGCAGGGTAAATGGCTTCACAGACCCATGAACGTGCCACAGCTAAGGATTGGCTCCTTACACGCAGGCTGTGGCTTGTTGGATGTGTCCTTCCCTCCGAACAGCATGTGCCTCGGGGGCAAGGATTATAACCGCGTCATCTTTGTCTTTTTCTTTCCTAAATCTAGCCTAGTAGCCGATGCAAAGGTTAACAGGAAAATATTGAATAGGTGAAAGTTTCTGAATAAATTTTAAGCAAGTAAATATGTGTTTTCTCTTTTGTCTCATCTGTGTAGCGCCTGACAGCTACAAAGTACATGAGAAGAAAACTGCTGCCTCCAACCGGCCGCCCTCTGCTATTTCAGGACAAAATAGCAACCACGCAGGAAATAAGCCAGGTATGATGCATTGCATTTGCTGTGGAAACGGGAGGTTATCCCAAAACCTTGAAGACATGCTAGGATGTAGGGGAGCATGGTTCCAGTTCTGCCACCAGAACACACGCTCACACTGACTTGTACGAGTTTGTTAGAGAACCTCTCAAAGCCTTGATTTTCTCTTTTTAAAATGGAGATTCAAAGGCATTCCCTATTTACCTCTCAGAATCATTTTGACAGTCAATGAGATGGTGTATGTGGATGCACTATTTACTGCCAAGCAGTGTATAAGAGGTAATAATTTTACTATCCTGTTTGAAGTGATAGATATGACACATTTCAGTATGCCCAGCATTATTGCATATCACTTTTCTGACTTTTTCAAAAACCATTTAAGAAAATCTTTACACATAACAAAGCTGGTATAGAATTAGGTTTTTGTTCACCAATCCCTACAATGATTGTACAGCTACACAGTAATTTCATTTAATAACCTATGATTCATAGTCTGTTCCATTCCAAAGAAGCGGTCTGTAAACATAATACAAACAGTTGGATAGACAATGCATTTGCTTCCAGGTATCCAACAACCATTGTGTGGTCCTTGGGAGAGACTAATGTTCAGTATGATGATGACAGATAATCAAAGGAAGGTAAAGGAAAAATGAATACTCTACAAGAGTCTTGGAATACTCTACAAGAGTCTTCATGCTGCTTCCAAGGCCAAAGTTACTCAAGACCAGGGAATCAGTGAGATAATATCAATAAGCATAAATAAATTAAAATAACAATAATAAACATAGAGATAATTGCATATGGCCTCATAGGAAACATCCTACATTATATCTACATTTTGTGGAGCTTTTGCCCATATGGAAAAGGTCTTACATAAGACACTTTTAAATAAGACGTAAATCGGCTGGTCACTTAGAAGAAAGAAGAAGTAATACTATTACAAATATTGCATGAGTAGCCTTCAGTGGCATTTCAATTAGCAAGCTGAGATTTCCCCATTTAGTTGTTTTGTCTTTCCATTCATTCATTTATCCATCCATCTATCCACCCACCATCTAATTATAATTATATGTATTGTTCTATGCCTGGGACTGTGAGAGATAGTGTATCAACAAAACAATGAGACCCCTATCCTCACCGGGATTATTCTGGAGGGCTTTTGTTCCTTATATTCAAGTGAGCATCCTTGTGGAAGTAAAAGTTCTTTAGTATGAAAACCCACTGGTTTTGCCATGAGACTTGAATATAACTAAATGGTTTATACTATTTCCCTCTTGTTCTCCCTATCAACAATCACGATTTTTTTTCTGCCATTCAATCAATTCTAATCAATTTTTATACCATTCTGAAATTTTCAATGAAAATTTCTTCCATTCTTGACTGTGCAATTTATACTTCTATATCCCGAGGACTCGTTTATTCATCTGGTGTTAGCATTGTGTAGGTACTAAGGGTATATTATTAAAAGACACAATCCCTACCCTCTAGTTGGCATTGTGGTGGAGTAAACTAATATATGAATAGATACTTTCTAACACAGAATTTCCAGTGTGACAAGACACATCTGCATAGAGTGCAGAAATAGCATAGAGGCCAAAAACTCTCCACCCCAATTGGCCATCTCTTTATAGAGCCATTTCATTGAAGTTGCTAAAGTCAGGTTAAATGAGGAGACATTTCATTTCAGGTTAGTTGTATATTTTAAGCATTCGTATGTCTGCTTTCTTGTATATAGAGATAAGCAAAGGTACAAAAAAAGGCTGTTATTTTTAAAACCATCATGTTATTTTCCTGCATACCTCCAAACAATAATGTAAGAGGTTCCATGTTGGAGGATTAGACTTGAGTAAAACCCTTTCATTTTAGTGAATATGAGTCATGGGAATGTCTGTGTAGAGTAAGTTGTTCATTTTCATTCTCTTGAACTTGAAAAGAAAAAAAAATACTTGCTCAATTTGAGGATATTTTGAATATTGCCCTAACCAGACATGGGCATCCTGACCAAATAAATGATTTCTTAGGGGCCCTTTTAACCCAGTAAATTTTCGTTTCCTTCCCTTCTGTACTTTGTGAGAATTTAAACCCATTAGAAAACTCTAGAACATGTCTGTGATTTAGAAAGCATCTGTTCACATTCAGGTTGTTCATCTTTTATCTTTGAGGCATGAATGGAAAGCCCTGTGGTGTTTTTGTAACTATGGGCACATGGTGTCTCGGGTTATCCAGAAGGGCCAGTGTTCTCAGCGGTGAATGCTTGAACCCAGACCAAAAGAGACAATTTGCTAAGTCACAGAACTGTCCACGTCTACAGAAGTGGGAGATGGTTCTTTATAACTCCATCAGCTGCTTCCAAATGATTAAGAGTTTGACCCAATTGGAAGAGAAAATTGCATTTTCTTCATGAACTATATGTACCTGAGAAAAGCGGAAATTCAAGTTCATTAAACATCCCTCTTAATCCCTATTCTTTCCCAACCCTCCACCACAGGTCTTTAAAAGAGTCACTGAAACTTAATTCTACTTAATTATTTCTAAATAATTTTTCCTCACAGAGGAATGCCTGACTTGGATCTTGCAGTTCCTCTCTCACTGCTCTATCAGGCCATTCGCACAGAATTGAGTTAGAGATCTGGTTTTAAGTGTCCTAGCTTGGACACTTAACTGTGCCATCTCCCTTAGTCCTATATATTTTCCTCAGTTTTCTCTTTGGAAAATAGGTAGAATAACTCTTCATTGAATGAATAAATGCTTGGCTAATTCAAAGGATTTGTGTGAAGAGTAAAATAATATATGTGAAAGTGCTGTGTAAAATGCAAAGCCCTAAGAGAAGTTATCTATCGTACGAATAGTAGTTGTTCAGATAGAAGTCTTGCAGATGTGGGTTGGCTTGCTTGATCTTCGAGAATCGTTCTTCAGTTCCAGTTTGTGCCGGACAGTCCAGGTGTATGCATGTCATCGAAGACAGACTATTGCTAACACTCCTTTTCACTCGTAAAAGTGCCCCAGTTTGGGTGGTCACCGTACTTTTTAATCATCATAGATTGGAGATTGAATGCAGAGTACAGTTGCAGTTTATTTATACCAAAGTTCTATTTTCTCTTAAAAAGTTTCCTTCTGAGAATCAGTAACTTAATTTTATTCTGACAATGTTAGGTCTATTGGGAAACAACGTGGGCTGGTCATAATGTTAAATTATTTTCATATGTTCAGTGAATGAATGAACTTACTGAGACTTACCATGTGCTAGGCACTATACTAACATTGGTACAGAATTATTTTATTTAATCCTTACAGTGATGTGAGATAGGTTCTATTGTGTCTTTATTTTATAGGTAAAAAGTAAAGACCCATGAAACCCATGTCATAGCTTGAGAGAGAAGTGGATAAGTAGCTCTGCAAGTGAGTGACAGTTCAGGAACTAAACGCAACCTATCTGACTGCAGGCCGGGTTCTCACATCCAATTGGTGAATGTCTATTCAGAATAACTGTACTGGGAATTCTGTTTGTTATTAAGGAACAGACATTTAAAGCATAAAAAATAATAGAAGTTCAGTAGCTTAGGAACACAAAACGTCATACATATTGTTTGATGAAAAGAGCCAAAAGGCTACAGTTGTGTTATGTTTCTACATATTTGTTTGCCATGTGTCTTTTGATTTTATTTTTATTATTTTCTATTTTTATTGAGATATAATCGATATGTAGCACTGTGTAAGTTTAAAGTGTACAACATAATGACTTACATATATTAGGAAATGATTACCACAATATATTTAGGTAGCATGCATCATCTTATATAGCAGGTATCCAAAAAAAAATGTATACACGATTTAGAAAATGAAATGTATTTTAATAAGCACTGCCTTTATAATTATTCAAAGTGTATGTATATGTTTTTTGGGACACCCTATAGATACAAAAAACAGGATCTTTTTCCTTGTGATGAGAACTCTTAGGATTTACTCTCCTTTGTAATGTTTTTATAATGATTGGTTTATTTGAGGGAGAGAGAGGAAGGAAGAGAGAGAAAGCAAGAGAAACATTACTTTGTTGTTCCACTTATTTATGCATGTATTGGTTGATGCTTGTATGTGCCCTGACCAGTATCCAGCATGGAATCCTGGAATATCGGGATGACTCTCTGACCAACTGAGCCACCCAGCCAGGGCTATCATGTTTTTAAATAGAAGGAAGATGCTAGGAAACTCTCAAAAAATTCTAGCAAAGTCTATCCCTGGAAGTATAGTTGTACGTACGAATTGTAAGATGTAGCATTATATTATTTTTCGAGTTTACTGGATAAAAAGATACTTATCTGTGTATTTAATTAGTTTATTTTTAAAAATCTGTTCTTCCTCCCATGAGATAATGTTTTTTATCTCCTTTTCAGACCCTCCACCTGTGCTGCGGGTTGATGACCGGCAGCGACTGGCCCGGGAGCGGCGTGAGGAACGGGAAAAGCAGCTAGGTACTCCATTTCTAACCCTCGCTTGGTCTCTAAGGAACACTGTTGTTGAAATGGTACTTTCTCCCCTCTAGAGTAATGGACACTTAACATTAAGCAAATGGACATCACTGTAATAACCATGCTCTCTAGCATGCCTTTATGAGTTTTGCAAATTAATTGTGAAACAGAATTTAGTATGTGATATAAACACAGGACCAAGTTTTTTTTGTTGTTTGTTTGTTTTGTTTTTTTTAAGTATCTGAGTATTTTATTTTATTTTTTTTAAAAAAAATATATATATATATATATTTTTTATTATTAGTTAAGGTATTACAAATGTGTCTTCATCCCCCCCATTAATCCCCAACCTCCCCCCCACACACAAACTCATGCTCCCATCCCCCTGTTGTCCATGTCCATTGGTTTGGCTTATATACATGTATACAAGTCCTTCGGTTGATCTCTTCCCCTTACCCCCGCCCTCCCCTACTTTCCTTCTGGTGATTGATAGCCTGATCGCTGTTTCTCAGTCTTTGGGTCTGTCCCTTTTCATCAGTCTATGTTGTTCTCTATAATCCACAAATGAGTGAGATCATGTGGTATTTATCTTTCTCTGACTGGCTCTTGCCTTTTGCAACAGCATGGATGGAACTGGAGAGCATTATGCTAAGTGAAATAAGCCAGTCAGGACCAAGTTTTAAGCGACCCGTCAAGTCTGGCCCAGGATTAAGGTCATTTGCACGTCTTCTTATATGGTCATCACAGTTTAAGGTGACACTGGATGAAATGTATATATGAGAGCCATGATGGCTCAGCTTAGATTTTACAACCTAAAAAATGCAAGGACAGAAAGCATATGGTTCTTTTTTATGGGAACAGTTATGAGACTAGAGACACTGCTAGGGGGGCACTTGCTGCTTTCCATGTTAAAATAATGCTGCTGTTGAATTTATAGACAGATGCTGCCACTTTGCTGCCAGGAAAAGCACAAGACCTCATGCTGAGGGTTCTGACTTTCCTTTTGTTATCTGAGGCCCTTGTGAAAGGTTAGCAACTACAGTATTTGCCGTATAATCACCTGGAGAGCTGGGTCACAGCACTAGCTTACCAGGAAGCCAAGATCAGAGCACTCAGCAATCATTCTCATTGTCTTCCAGGACATAGAGCAAGCATGCCGGTGCCAACTCCTCCTTTACTTTGCAGTCCATTATGCAAAGTTGCTAAAACAGGATCCTCTCTTTATGTATATTGAAAAGATGAATTGCCTGGTCAGTATGTCTGTGTTTCTGAAGTGTCTGGGTATTTTAAGACTAGGGCTGACTTAGGTTGCCAAAATCGTTCTATTTTGTAAGAGTTCATGTTTCAATTGGGAAACCCAGCCCCTGTATCCCATCTTTTTTAAAATTCTTATTCAAGAACCCAAATTTGTGAAACTCCCTAAAATATGGTTTTCAAAGTCTATTGGCATTATTTATGTTCTCTGAACACAGGCCTCTCTCTCTGCCTTGCCATAATGATCATATGAAGTCATTCCTTTTGCTGCCGTTTTTTCGACACAAATTTCAACAACTTGCTGTGCCTAGAGTTTTGGCCCAGTCTTGAAGTCCCCTGTCTCTTGTGGATTTCTGCAGGTTGGTTGGTTCCTGGAGGGTAGGACTGTCTGTGGACTGTGCCCACTGCCCCTGGTCAAGTTTGGTTTGACAGATGGACCAGAACTGAGAAAGAGGGAAAAGGTAGAGTTACTGAAGCAGGAAGAGCAAAAAGAACAAACTGACGACTGCCCTGGGTGGCTGGTTTTGTATCCATCCGAGTATCAGCACTGTGTCCTTCACCTCCACTTTCCACCCTACCCCAGTGGGACCAGATCCTACACTGTTAAATGTCTCTTTAGAATTGCAACATGAATTCATGTCTACTTGAGTGGAAGTAGCTCAACAGCATCAGCCTACTCCTTTATGGCTTAAATCCCATCGTGAATTCGCTTTTACACATTAAGTCATACCTTTCCCTTTGGTTTCTTTGCCTTTCAAAGCCATGCATTATTAATTATTTTGTAGGAAGCATGACTCATTAATTTATATATTCAGAACTTTTATTTGTCAGGTATTGTGTTGAAAAGGTGAGTTAAGGTGGAGACCCAGCCCTCAAGGGCTAGTTGCGGTCCAGTGAGGAAGCAGATGAACACAAAGCAATTATAATACCGGCTGGTATTGAAGGGGTGTGCAAAGGGGTGTTGAGAACCACAGAAGCACCTAACCCAGCCTGGGGATGTCAGGTGCCACCTGAGCTTCCAACTAGAGGGCGAAGCAGAGTCATCCAGGGAGACGGAAGAGGCAGGGACGGGAGGGCAGTGATAAAAAGACAGGTGGGAATCCAACATGCTCCTCAGATTATTATATGGGTCAAAGTAATTTTCAGATTACTGTATTATCCTAATCTCACAATTTTACTTCTTTGGTGAACCAATATATACTATCGAGTGTTTCTCTTTCTTCTTAACCCTGCCAAGTTAAATACAGTTTTCCTTAATTCTGATCTCATCTCTTTTGTTATTAAGAATCATACTTTTAATGAAATAGATCAATTCTAATTTTTTATTTGCATTAGTTGCATTGTATTTTTAAATTTTATGTGTCCTTTTGCTTATTCTTTTCCATTTAAGCCATCATAGTAGAAACTAAGTCTTGAGAGGCTCCCTGGAATCTTCTAAATATACAAATAAACATTCTGCAAATACACCTACTTACATTTGTAAAGAGTCGTCTAAAGTCTAGCCTCTAATTTAAGCTGTGCCTTTGAATACATAAGGGTGATTTCTAATCTTTAGCACTAGAAGAAAATCAAAGGGCACACCTGACGAACTACCCATAAACCGTGCTTTGCAGAAGCTATGGGAGCAGTTGAATTTTTTTTTTTTTTTAAGGGGGTGAGAGACTGCCTGTCACTGAATAGCAGATCTTTGGATTTACTTTTTTGAAAACAAAAAATAGTTGGTAACATCAGTATTACATAGCTTTCAAATTTTAAACTTTTCAAGTTAAAAAAAAGAGCGGCGTCCATTCTAGAAATTCCAACAAAGCAAAATTTAAAGTGATTGGCCAGTGAAACTGATTATTCACTGTTGGATGTAGGTTGAAATTAACATTGAAAGATTCTTTTTAATCCATGTTTTTTAAAAAAAGCAAGGTAGAGAGAATAAAGGGCTTTTCATTCTGTTTGGTTTTTTGGTGACATATCATGTTTGTACTGATTGCAAATGGGAGGCCTTATTAATGACTTTCTGTGGGTTAAACCTCTGAGTCATGCTTCAATGCTTTTATTGTAGGATTATGTCATGTGGCCTGCTCTTTCTACATTATCTTTCCATTTATCACATAAAATCAGGCATACATCTTCATGTTTGGGATTATTCTCTCTCTTTGGTTGAACATCTGGACTCTGAAAGCATTAATTTTCTGCCTTAAAAGTTTTAGGAATCGCCTCAACCATTCTACTCCATCTGACTCTATTCAGGCCATTTCTTCAAACTTCTCCCTCTTGACTTCTGCATCTTTTTTGCCATCTCTCTTCTAAACTTTAATTTCGTTTTTTCCTATGGGGGGAAATCTTATTTGTTCTCATGGTTTCAACATCTCCAGCTACTCATAAAGCAGTCGATGTATTCCTACTGTCTGAAACTCACCTTCTATACAACTAAATTGTTCATCAACTTTCACTCCAAAATTTACTCCTTTGGGTCATTTCTCTGTATCGATCAATTGCACCAGTATTTTGGGGGCCCTAAGAAATTATTCCTTTTAGCTATTTTAGATACTTCTGGTCCTGCTAGAGAAACTGGTATCTTTCTACCTGTGTTAGCATTGAGGATTTTTAAAGAATAAAACCTTCTCTCTTCCTTGGTGGCTCAATGCTGTGCACTGACCGATTTCCACACTGGCCTGTTGAGCCACTTGTAGCTACCAGTGGTCAATCTGGACTCAGCCTAGTCCTCTAGCTCAGGCTGCAGCTCTCTCTAGCCCAGTATGTAAGTGCAAGTTGCCACACTTCCTTTATCCTTAATCCATTTATTCATAAGACTGGCTTCCTCTGTCTTCAGCATAAATCTCAGATCCATGACTTTAAATTTGCTGCCTATGCTATCATCCTAGTCCAGGCCTTAATGCATTTATAGATCTAAGTCACCAAATCTATCTGATTGATGTACTTCATCAGTCGACCTCTGTCACAGTTAATACCAGTCTTTCTTTTTGACACCTTCTTAGTCTTCATTATCTTTCACCTTTTTATACTCTACTGAACTTTTTCTAGTTGGATTTTATAGACCTCCATGGTTGTTTATATTTTAAGCTTTTCAAGGGCACAACCATTGCTTTCCAATTCTTTGTATGCCAGAATGTGGCACAGTGCTAAGTATAAGCAGATGTGTAATAAATATTTACCGATTTTCTTGATTTTTATTTATTTTACCCTAGTTTTTAATTAAGTACTAATATTAACAATACCTTAACATTATTCATAAACAGTAATATCAGTGTTTATTAATCAGTGTTCTAAACACTTCACTATGTATTATCACATTTAGTAGCAAATTAACACAGTGGTTGTACTTTTTATTGTGTGGGCCTATCAAATAATAGAATGTCACTTAATAGAATGTCACTTAATAGAATGTCACTTATTTTATTTCTAGCTTAAGGAAGGAACTGAAAGAATCTAGAAAAATGGAATAGTTAATAGACCCTCTTTTCTTTCTGCCATATCAGCTGGTAAGCATGTTTTTAATTTGTACAGGGTCACCAAGATCCCTGTTAAAATTCCTCAGCAAGTAGTGACATTGTCATGTTAAAAGTCCTCAACAAGTGAATCTAAGAATCAAGTGAATAAATAATCTGATGAACAGAATGAACTGTTGATTATAATAGAATTAGGGACATAGAAAGGGAATGGACTGACTATTCTTGGGGGGGAAAGGGGTGTGGGAGATGCAGGAAGAGACTGGACAAAAATCGTGCACCTATGGA